CGCGCTTGGTTAATAAGATATATTTACTAGTAAAATCTTGGGAGTGAGAGTGTTAAGAGACAGAAGGATACAAAATGACTTTTTAAAAAAAGTCATGATTTTGTCATATTTTGCTTACTATATCAAAATGTGAAACAGAATTTTGCAAGTTTGGCTTCAAGACTTTGTCTCTAAAACTATATTCCTTGTCAATTGGCACTGAGATGAGGAATGATATTGAACATGATTAACTTTTATCATTGATTTAAATAGTAAACGTGACATCCCAGCTATCAACTTTGTGATGCACGTCACTCATTGTCAGAGGAATCTGATGTTATGCAAAGAATGTGGAGAGCCAATACCCATCTCGCAGCAAGAGGAACATTTTGAAGAATACCATGCCCAGGTGTGTATTGTGTTGGGGGTATCCAGTCAATTCGCCACCATAGCAAACACGCTACCACAAAACTTGCCACCACTCGAAGTCGAATCGCCACTACTGACGATTTGACTTAAACGTTACGTGTATAAGCCTCTGGTGTGAAACTTACTTTAAATGAAAGCTAATATCGCCTGAGAGGCTGCATGTAACATTTAAATCAAATCGCCACCCAAGGCATTATTTGACTTCAAGTGGTGATGAGATTTGTGGTGGCGAGTTTGTTGTGGTGGCAAATTGACCATTAATTAACCAAACTGAGTGGTCATCATAAGGTACTGAATGTTTCTTGTTTCTCAAGCTTAACCTTTTCACTCCTACGAGTGACCAAGACAGAATTTCTCCTTACAATATCAATACAAAATCAAGTAGACAAGAGATGAGAATAAAGAAAAATATTATTAAATAATTAGGTGTTTTAAGTTGATCAAAGGACCAAATTCTCCAAACTGACATCATTTAGTTAATGTTTGGCAGAAGGTAAGGAGAATTATGCATGAGATCTTGGGAGATCAAGTGAAGCTGATTATTGAATTAGTAGCTATTAATTAAATTTTATCTTTTGTATGTTTTTAGTCAGGGAAATTGTTTTTATACAGAGCTAACCTCACGATTTTCCCTTTTCAGGATGTATTTTTTATATTTGCATTGTAACTTCCTGAATAAGCGTTACGTTATGTTAGGTCATTATTACACCGTACACCCTGCAGTGTGTATAACATCACGCAATTAGTAAAAAGACATGAATGCAATCCAAGAACTGATGTGATATGAGGTGCATGATTGTTAACAGTTCAGGTATAAATGGGGTAAGATTGGCCTATATAGTGACCTTTATTTTTTATTGGAATTTGCCAAAACAGAGATTGGTAGGAAACGTTCCAAGAAAGTTTCAAAACAATTGTTCAGACTACAACTTTATTCTTGAGGAATGACCTTAACCTCCATGGTAAAATGAGTGGATCTTCTCTAGACCAGAACTGTCTGGTAATTCTAGGGAAATGGTTGTTGCATTGGGAGTGCTTTAACTGTTAAAAATTTGGATTGGTATTGAACCAGGAATGTTGCCAAGTGATGGTTGCCTGGGAACAGTATTTTGTAGTTTGAGATAACTTTTTTAACTTAACTTATCACAGAAAGCTGTAAAACTCTTGAACAAAAGCTCATCTTTCAAACCGGCAGTCTAAATCCCATGGGTATCAACAAACGCTTTTCATTCCACTAATTTATTCGTGTTTTTCTCGTTGCCATGTTCCCACCAATAATGTAGCTCCATTGTCTGCCTTTAAAAGCACACACAACCCACAATTCCTCTATTCATTCCGACAAAGGGCTCATGCTCGAAACGTCAGCTTTTATAATCATAATGGTGGCCAATTTACCATTTCAACTTTGTTGATATATTCAAATTATTAACATGTAGTTGTTTCACAGGAACAATGTGAATGTGGTGAGCTTGTGGAGAAAATGAATCTTGATGAGCACAAGGTATGTTTAAAACTATTCCACACTAGTTTATCCTCTGTTTATTCCATTGCGTTTCAAGAGTCTGAAAATTGTTAGTATAATTATGTAGCCTCAGGGACAACTTAAAGTATTTCCAGTCCATGTTTCACTATCAGAACAGTAAAACAATTTTTTGACTAAATCTGTAGCAGAAATCACCCATTTGGGCAACCCACAGTAACACTGACGGTTATGTTTCTAGTTGTGCAATATGATGATGAACATTGTGGTCAGGATATGGTTTGTTGTGTAATATTTGCCCAAAGTGCATTTGGAATTTTTCCCTGGCCATGCAGTTATTAAATTTTTTTCCGACAACCATTTTTATGATTTAAGGATACCAAATGGAAACTTTAGAAATGATTTCGCTTTGAACCTTTGACTTACTGGTATATGAAACAGCAANGATGTCCTCCCCTGGGGTGGGATGGGTGGGTAACAGGACCCCCATTGATACCAGTGTTTACTACACTGAAGGGGCTATCCTGTATAAATATGGAGGTCTACTCCACTCTACTGATGAGATCTTGGAGTGAAAGGGTGAAATAATTGATTAGAAACCTCAGACACTGCAGTTACTATTTCCACATTAGAGACTTCAACATCACCTTGAACTATCTGCTTTTTTTTTCCTAAACACTTTCTGTTTTTATTGTTGACAGGAGAAAGACTGTCTAAATCGTGAAGTGGAGTGCGAATATTGTGAGTTGAGTCTTCCATTCAATAAAATGAGTTCTCATGTGGAATACTGTGGCAGCAGAACCCAAAAGTGTGATGCATGTGACAGGTTTATTCAAATGAAAGACTTAGCAGAGCATGAAAACAGTGGTTGTCAATACCCAATAAAAGAAGAGAGTAAACAGCCACCACAGTCCAAGCCAAGACATGAAATCTTCAGTGGCGTACCAATTGATATCTTTCATGGGATGGGTGAAATAGACTCTCCAGAGGCAGAGTATTTTGGATTTAATCCATTTGCTGCTGCCATCAATGGGTTTGAACAGATCCTTTACACAGGACTTGGAACTCCACCTTTTAATGATGCCCACATGAATTATCCTGGTGGTGCAGCCCACTATGGTGTTGATGGAAAAGGTATGATTGGAAAACGTGGTGTTATTTCTCGAGGAGCCAGTAAAGGAAGAGTTCCCCAAAAACCAGAAGCTGATCATCGCAACTTTCAAGATTTTGATGAGTTTAATGATGAGTATGCAGTGGACATTGATGATGATGAGATTCTTGCAGCAGCTTTTCAAGCTGATGAGTTTGGATATGTTCATGACGACAGTGAGTGGATGTCTTCGGCAGAGGTTGATCAGCATGTTCCACACACAAAGTCTACATTACTGCCTGAATCAGGAAATGGTAAGGGCTGTGCTTTGTAATATGATTTAAACATTAATGTATCTCTATGAAGAATATTAACTATATAACGAACAAGTATTTTTGTAAGTGTATGATAGCATTAAGTAACTACAGTCAAACCTGTATAAGGCAGTCACCAGGGCTCGACACTAATGGTAGCTTACTAACCACAGACAAGTAGAAATTCAATTTTGGCTAGTGGTTTTCAATTTCCATTAGCCAGTTTGGCTAGTAAACAAGCTGAAATTGTTGTAACATTGCGTTGTCACAGGCTAGCCAATTGGCTAGTAAGTTGAAAAGTTAGTGTGGAGCCCTGAGTTACCCTTGGGGATGGAGGGATGACAGCTTTTAAGCTGTCTTAAAATCCAGGTTGACCACTTAAAACAGATTCCACAGAATAGGGGCCTAAAAAACACTATTTTATGCCATAACCGACCACTTAATGTATTAAAACTCACTCATTTAAAACACTACTAACATTGATTTCAGGAGATAAACAGGTATGAATTTTACTCCAAGATTGTTCAAGTTTCATTTGAACAATAGTGCTTTAAATGACCAATGGGTATGGATGAAAGACAATAATGCAAACAGACCATTGAGACTCACTATTAAAAGGGTGAGGATGACTGCTCAGTAGAGGTGACCACTTAATTGTAATGAAAATTAAAGTTGTAATTAGGGAAAAAATTGGGGGAAGTTTTTAACCTGACCACTAAATCAGGGTGACTGCTTGATAAGGTGCCACTTATTGCAGGTTTGACTGTTTTGATAATGGTTTTGATTATTATATCAGTGCCATACCTGTATCATTCATAGTTCATGAACATTGTTGACAGTAGTTTGTAAGAGAATATATTATCAACTGTAGTCTGTGTTGAATTCATTCTTTGTTTAGATAATTTAGATAAAACACAGCTGCCTTGTGAGTTTTGTGGTAACTTATTTGCAGTGGAATCCCTTATACTTCATCAGGTAAGAAAACACTCCATGGATACATATAAGAGCAAAATTGTTATGAAA